GGCCGAGCCTGCGGATTTCGGCATCTTGGGGGCGCGACTGTGTTTTTTTTTTTTTACGCCGGCGCGAAAAAAATCGCCCTGGACGGCATGTTAAAGGCGCGGCTAGAGATGCTCTAAGCAGTACAAGAACATGGTCGTGGAGTACTCACCGTGTTCTTGCAGGCAGGGAGGCGTTGTCATGGTCATTGTGATGGTGACAGAGCAGGCGGTGGTGATCCAGATGCAGATCCAGCTCTTCCGGATCCATATCCAGCTCCTCTCGCAGCTCCCGCTCCTAACGACACAGATCCAGCCGCCTCACTGAACAGATGGAATTCCTCCTGCCGGAAAATAAAAATGCAATCTTGACACAAGAGGAAGAGGGCGGCAAATAAAAATGCAATCTTGACACAAGAGGAAGAGCGACATGGGCCATGGAGAGGCGGGTACAACGCGAGAGGAAGAGGTCGGCGGCAACACAGCCGAGGTAGAGGCAGCGACGATGCGGCGACCCAAGCATCAGAGGCGAGCTAGGGATTGAGAAGAGGGGAACAAGAGACCGAGAGAGTGGTGTGGCGCCTAGGGGTATAACGTAAAAGTGAAAAAAAAAAAACATTGCGTGCCTGATTTTGTACATGGACGTGAAAAACGTCTTATATCAGTGTATACAAGTGAACTGAGCAGTAGTATACATCCCATTGTAGGTGTATATATATTCAGAACTTTTTAAAACTTGAAAATTATGATTTTATAATTTTCAAATTCCAGTCTACATGTAGCCCGAGATCCAAAAGCAATTTCCGCTCCAAGATGCCTAAGTTCCACAACAGGAGCCAGTGTTATGTTTCCCCTCACGTGATTCACTTCTATGCTGGTCGTATTAAATTATACACAGTTCTAGAATGGTTGCATAAGCTTGTCACAACTCACAATATCACTTGTCCATGTCTTGCACCAATTCCTCAAATGATGGAAGATAGAATCAATTCATTCTTCTGGTGTGCTTGTTGGAAGTAATGTTAATCCTCTCATCTCGCAGCATGTTCATGCTGGGAGCCAGCAGTCTAGTGTACCGATCAAAATAAAGAAGTTGCTTCATGAGAAGAGCGAATTCCCTAGGAAATTTCAGCCCATGTGACTCGCTAACCCTTACCTGGGAGATGCAATAACAAAAAAAGTTAGCTTAGTTTATTTTGTTCTCCAAGAAAAATACATCCTGCTTAGGATTCAAATCTGCAACTTGATACTCAATTATTAAACATGTGCATCTCAGAATGGCATCTTTTATCCCGCTTAAAGAGGACATTAATAAAAGGATAGAACAATATATTTCGGAAAGCCAAAAGGAAGGAGCCCATACCTACCTTAGCAGTGTTTTCTTTTGGGGGGGAGAAACCACCAGGAGCGCTGCCTTTTCATATTAGACGAATAGAAGGTTTTTGTACAGAAATGTGATGAGATTGTGAAGGGATTCATCAGGACTCCAAAAACATGAGGAAAAACGTGTGCGTCTAACCGATACCCTTGCCCTTGCGTGGCCAAATGCCATGTGACGCTGTTTTATGACCTTGAAGGCCAGCGCGGCGACCTCCCGGAGGGTTAGGCGGATCCCATTAAAAGTGTGATGGTTCTTTCCTTCCAGATGTTTCAAATCGTCTAGAGAAGTCTCCCACTGCGGCGCCTCTTAAACTCTTTCGGTGCAGCTTCAATCATGGTCTCCACCAATCTGAGACCCCCTGAGTTGTGCCCTGCACGGTAGTAGCCTGGATGATCTCACCAGTCCAAGTTTGAACGTTGCTCCAGACAGCCTGGGAAAAGGGGCAGTCAAAGGCATCCTGGACGTGTTTGGCACGGCTTCTGGGCTCCAGGTGAACTACACCAAGAGTTCTGCCAATGTTCTTCACGGCGATGACTCTGACACGGGGCTGATTGAGCTGCTTGGGTGCCCCGTCGCGACGCTGCCGATCACCTATCTAGGCATCCTGCTCACCACCCGTCGCCCCTCCGCGGCCCAGCTGCAACCCTTGTCGACACGGTGGCGGGCCGGCTTCCTACCTGGAAGGCATGGCTGATGAACAAGGCCGGACGGCTGGCGCTTGTCAAGTCGGTGCTCAGCGTGATCCCAATTCACCAATTGCTCGCGCTCGCACCCCCCAAGAAAACCCTGAAGCAACTTGAGAAGATTCAGCGTGGTTTTCTTTGGGCCAGCCGCGCGGACACCCACGGTGGACACTGTCATGTGAATTGGCGCCGGGTCTGCCGCCCGCTCGAATATGGCGGCCTAGGTGTCCGGGATCTCGAGCGCACGGGGCCCGCGCTCCGGCTCCGTTGGCTATGGCTTGCGCGTACGGTCACTGATCGTGCATGGCAGGGGCTGGACCTGCAGTTTTCGTTGGAAGAGCGCACGCTCTTTCACGCTTCCACGACCATGGCCATTGGGGACGGCACGACCGCCCTCTTCTGGGAGGACCGCTGGCTCGGCGGCCAGTCCGTCCGCGAGCTAGCGCCCATGCTCTTTCAGTGCATCCCCAAGCATCACCGGAAATCGAGAACGGTGGCGAAGGCCTTGACCGGCAACAGCTGGGCGCGCGACATCCATGGGCTGCTCGGCCTTCCCGAGATTGGACAGTACCTGAAGCTTTGGCACCTTGTGCAGCATGTTGAGCTATCCAACGAGCCGGACAAGCTGCTCTGGAGCTGGACCGCCAACGGCGTGTACACTGCTCAGTCCTGCTACCGGGCAACCTTCCAGGGAGCGACAGGCTGCCACTCCTGGAAGCTCATTTGGAGGAGCTGGGCACCGCCAAGAGTGAAATTTTTCCATTGGCTGGCATGCCAAGATCGCTGTTGGACCGCAGAGCGGCTTGCACGCCGTGGCCTGCAGCACCACCCGCGATGTCTTCTATGCGACCAAGAGCCAGAGACGATCAGACACTTGATGCTCGCGTGCCCCTTCACTAGGCATACATGGCATGAGATCCTATCTTGGCTGCGCTTACCGGCGCCGACGCCCGAGCATGACTGACTCGCTCATGGACTGGTGGCTGCGCGCTAAGGAATCCACACCGCCAGCGCTCCGCAAGGCACTGAAATCCGTGGCGCTTTTGGTGCCGTGGATGATCTGGAAGCATAGGAACGCGTGCGTTTTTGACCATGTGAGCCCATCGCTCAATGAGCTTGTTGACAGGATCAAGGACGAGGCCCGATGTTGGGCAAAGGCCGGGGCTCAAGGACTCAGGGTCATTTTGCCATCATCATGGGATGTCCACTGATCATCTGACAACTGTGTAAACCTGCCTCCTAGGAGGATGTAAATTCCCTATCTTTCCAATGCAATGAAACGCAAAGGCCATTTGCGTTTTCTCGAAAAAAAGGGGCAGTCTTTGCAGAGATGCATGGCAGTCTCAGGAGCACGCAGACATAGCTTGCAGATCGGGTCGTGCGGCCACCCATGGATGGCAAGGATGTCGGAAATGAGGATTCTACCGTGAAGAACGAGACAGGAGAAGAAATTGCATTTTGGCTCAGCATGCGCCAACCAGATCTTTTGTGGACAGGAACTGGGGTGAGATCCGTGGAATTGAACAGCATAGGCGGAGGCCGGAGAGTAACGCCGCTGGAAGTCCATTTCCAGGAGATGATGTCATCCCGATCAGGGTCAAGGTTCGTGCGAGCCAACAAAGTCCAAAGAATGACAAACTCGTATAGCTGGGAAAGGGTGTGCATGCGTGCTACGGCTCGAATTCAGTTATCATCCTGAAGCCCCTTCATAACTGACCTTTGCTTCCTAGTGGCGCTTCTGTACAGCTCGGGGGCATAAGACTTGAGCGGACCTTTGCCGCTCCAGTTGTCATGCCAGAACAGTCTTTGCGCCATTTCCAATTGTGATAGTGGTCGATGCCTACAAAAATCCATGCCTGAATCATCAAATGGCAAGGTGGAGCGCACCCACGGCCGCTTGGGATTGGTCCGAACCAAGGCCATCTCATCCTCAGCGCCTGACCAAATTTCTCCAGACCAGCAAGGCCAAGGCGGCCAAGCGATTTCGAGCGACAGACCATGGGCTAGTTGACCAGCCCATCCGACGTGTTATCGATGTCATCGTGCCAGTTGAAATTGCGCCCGATCTTGTTGAGTTCGTGGTTTGGACTTAGCAGTTTGGAGTGCGAAACAGAGGATCTTAACCCATCTTGAACTGCAGTCCAAAAGATAAGAATCGCCTACTGATCGAGTTTCAAAAGAAATAGAACAACAATACATATACAGATCTGCGTATCTCCCTAACTACTGACTATAGCGGAAATTGTCTCACAACAAGGAATACTAGCAGCGGGAGGAATGACATTTCATATAACTCTACTTGAACATTTTGTTTGTAGTTCTACATTGTGTTCTCTAGATAGGATCAGAAAATCAAGAAGCTCACCAGATCAAGAAACAGTGCATTCATCTGCCTCTCGTCTACAACAACATTAGCAGATACAGCTGCAGCATCAGAACTTCTTGCAGCTGCCACTATAATTTCAGTATCCAACTCCTGCTTCACAAAAAAAAAAATGCATGAGTATTGTGCACCATAAAATAAACTAGTACAATAGGATGTCAAGTACTTAAGAAATACTACAAGGCTAGCCACATTAGTTGCTCCACATAAGCTACCTAAATCCAAATTGAGCTGCCACAAGTATTCAGGCCAGGTCTGCTCTGGCATAGAGTTTTATACTTTTGGGACTTCGGCAGAATGTTTCTTCATTAAAGCACACCATCCACAATCAATAAGGCTGATCAAGCCTTTCGAATATCAAATCAAGTATCCCTCTGTTGATGATAAAAAGAAGTATCCTTGTGCCCATCAGTAGATATTACCTGTAGCGATGAGAATATATTTTGCAAGTCCTTTGCAAAGGAGTCAACATCTATATCATTCCCTGTAGCACCCATTTCGGAAAGGGCCGATGCCATAGCATTGTAATCCTCAGTTGCGAAAGAAGCCAAAAAGATCTCCATAGCAGCCCAAGTCCTTGGGGATATTCGACCAACAATTCCTGTTAAGTATATTAACTAATATTATTATACTTTGCTGACAAGATGTTATGGCTAAATGCTAATGAGTAAGTAAAGACTCTTATCATAAATTCCAATGAGAACATAATGCCCGCTAAATGGCAATAGTAAGATCACTGTAGGAGGAACTTAAGTCTTAAACATACCAAAATCGATAAATCCAACACGTCCATCACGAAGCAACCATAGGTTTCCTGCATGCACATCCGCATGGAAGGATTCACATGAGATCAAGCTTCCAAACCTACACATTAAGTGGATCTATCAATATGCTTACACCAAGATTTGACTACTACTACCTCCGTCCGGGTATACAGGTCCGCCCGACCGAAACGCAGGTACCAAGACAAAATTGTATCGTGGTGAGTTATAAAAAGAAGTTGATTGCAAGACCACTGCTGGCCGAATGCACCAATGAGAGAGAAACTCAGGCCCACTCAAATTGGGCATGCACGGGCTGATGCATCAATAGGCCAACGTTTCAGCATGCAGCCTCGCCCCTCGCGCTCGCATGCAGCCTCGCCTCTCGTGCGAATTAAATTCTCCCAATAAGCGAACGAGCACCAACAGACACTAGCGAAAAAGCAGGGCATTGATTATAATCGGCCTTGTAATTGTGGTACACACGTGGAGTGCCCAGCGGACGTATAACCCCGGACGGAGATAGTACCACATAATTATCCAAATCAATTGTTATACCAGAAGATAAACTGAGGCAGCTGGTGGAAGTGAAACATACCAGACATTGAGGGCAGTGACTAAAGTCAACTCAGGATCAGGAACAAGAGACCTTATAGAATCAAGATCGGTGAGTGGAACACCATACAATCTTTCCATAGTTAAGACACGCTTTGTGCTACAGTGCTGATACACAAATGGAGATTTGGCCTGCCTATCAAATCCCATTGCTTCGATGTATCTCTGGAAAGCCTCCATATTTACAGCTTCCTTTCTAAAATCAACTTCCTCAAGCATTGATTCCTTTATGTCCTTGATGATAGCTACCTAAGAAAAGAATATATAGAGCATCATTTTTTTTTTTGCAGTGCATCTCAGAATTGAGTAATATATACTTCCAGTTTGCATTATCTAACTCAACGGCATCACAGAATGTTGACCTCCAAAAATACAGGAACATGTCTAAGATGTTTTCACAAAGCTATCTGTTATTTTGACATGCTTGAACCACAAAATACTATGGTGTAAGAGTTATTTGCAGAATCAAATTCTTTCTGGACACAAATTTACTGCAACTCTCTCGGAAAAAAAGAACTCGTTGTAATATTCTGATTAATGGCAGTACTCTGAATTTGTTGATGTAACGTGTATTGTTTTTGTTTGATATACCTAAATGCAATCACTCTATCGCAGTGACCAATTCACTCTCGTACCAATCTACATCATTGTATCTTGGCTTGGCCTTCTCAAAACAAAACAAGCATATGCTCATAGGAGCAAGTTTGTTCATTGGCAAGTTTTTTGCAAGCTGCATAATCAAACCAAAAACCAAATAAATATACTACACACGAAGCCTTAAAAAGGACATAAACTTCAGTTTTAGTGGAATTTGGTCTCTTGTGATCCAAGAACCACTTGGTTGAACAATCATTCTGTATAAAAATAAGGTTTACCCCTCATTTAAAAAAAACAGACTGCATGCTTGTTATTTTAAAATAGAGAGAATTCAAGTTTACCAACATATTTTTATGCTACAAGAAAGTCAAGGATGTCAACGTGCTATGATTAAGTGATCTCTTACCAGTGATGTCCTCTCTAATTCAGGGCTTAGAAACTCCAAAACACGTGCAACAAGATAGATAAAATTCAGATCGGCAACCAAAGTATCTTCAATTCCAGGTTTCAGGACTTTAATCACCACATCCTTCTGAGAGCTCTTCAATCTAGCCCCATGAACCTGGATGATAATAAAGATACCTCAATACTTTGATGCTAGACTGAAGAAGGCAATTCAGATGCTCCCAACAGAAACCTGTGATATTGAAGCAGATGCTATTGGCACGGGATCAATGTACTCATAGACACTATCCAATGGCCGCTGCAACTCCTCACGCAATATCGACTCGATCTCGCTATAAGGAACAGGTGGTGCTCGGTCAAAACAGTTCTGGAATTCTTCAACATATTCTGCAGGAAAGGAAGTTGGTGCAGACGCTATGAACTGCACAATCACGCAGTCAGTTGACTATAGAGGCCAAGTAATCAGACACAGCATATGATTATGAACAGAAAAAATACTTAGTAGACACCCTCTCCGCACCTGCCCTAAATCACCATCCCCAAAAAGGTCATGTGCTCTCAAATTGTCCATATGGTACCCTTCAAAACTCTAACCATCATTAGAAATTTAGATGGATGGCGTGTGAATATGAATTCTTAGTTGTACAACTTAGGCCCTGTTTGGTGGGCTTCCATAGTGGCTTCCCATTAAAATAGCTGAAACCAACAAAACACCTTTTTCTGAGACCCGCTTCAGCCGAATTTCTTTTCAGACGCATAGGTATACATGTGAAGACATGCTATATTGCTATTAATTGATAGCATGTCTTCACATAATAAGCTATGAAAATGTCATTCCTCTTGATGGTAGTATAAAGTATGAACATGCCCTTACCTGACCTAGCTTGATATAAGTTGCACCCATGCGTTCAAAAAGCCTTCTGAGGTAAAGAGGGGAAAGCAAACCAAGACGCATCTGAGCTGGAATTCCTTCTGACGTGTTAGCTGTCTGCATTAGATTGACAACACGGTAATATAAAAAAGTCTGCTGAAACAACCAAGACCACTAATAGCTACTCCCTCCGTTCCCAAATACTTGTCTTTCTAGGCATTTCAAATGGACTCAACATACGGATGTATGTAGACATATTTTAAAGTGTAGATTCACTCATTTTGCACCGTATGTAGTCACTTGTTGAAATCTCTAGAAAGACAAGTATTTAGGAACGGAGGGAGTACATCAGTTAAAACTGAAAATTGTGCAAAACCAACCCAAAGCAAACATCACCATATTCTATAAAGAGTAGGCCTCAATACAACAATATCTTATACTCTTCCTTACAAGTTGCAACCTAACCCAACTCAACCCACCAGTACTTTAGCAGTTTGATGTTAAACCTATCAATGCCCTCTGTGACCCTTTGGGGGTCCTCAACATGCCTGCATATGCCTGTGCAAGCACATATGTGGGGCATGCACATGCAGAGATATTTCGTCCACTGACTTGAATGTCAACTTGAGATGACACAGTAGACTCAACCTAAATTTTACATATTGCAAGCAATTCATTTGCACTCAACAACCTAATACTGGTGACTGCCATTTGTTTCCAGTTCAATTTAATGTATGTAATATGGTAGAGAACCGAAGGGACAACATAAGCAGAGACAGACATGGAACTATGCTCACAGATAAGTAGAGTAATTCTTATCAGAACAAGAGTTTCATGAATTTATAATTAGTTTTTTCCAAAAAATTATATGATTAGGTATAAAGCAAGTAATTCATGAAAGGTTTTCAATTGATTTCGGCTATCATCAATGGTTAGTAAGTTTGATCCATAATAAGCTATTTACATAAACAAAAGAAAACATCGGAGAAAATTAGAATATACAATGAGTATGTAATATGGTATGATTATTTTGCAACTGATTTCAGCAACAGGAATGGCATTATGACTAGAATAAACTACAAAGGGTTGAATGAATCCATGTGTGCTCATCTTTGTTAGTGTTATTATCAGTTATGCTTGTATGATTAGTTACATGCCACCAAATGCATCAGAAAACAAACAATATTAATGAGTCTACACTGTGTGGGTTGTCTCCTTTTTAAAATGTACGAAGAGCATTTATATTTTCATTCATACCAAGATTTACAGAAATAAGAGAAGAAGAATAAAACGAGCAACAACCTTCGAGAAGTCATTTAGCCACTCCCCACCAACCCCAAGGAGAGCTTGGATCCCTTGCGCCATCCTAAAGGCACCTCGAGGCCCTGTGCTAATCGACGTCTGGAGAAGATCCTCTACTAATTTCGGCAATTCACCAGCTCTATATGCAATTGGACAAAAATTGGAAACCTCTAAGGTAAGTTTTTCAGACAATAGCAAACTGAACTCCACACATTCAACCCATGTCCATGTATTACTCCATCACCAAATTGCCTTAGTACCCCTTATCCACCTCACACATAGTCACCAACATCACACCAAAACTACAACCATCCCCAGAGCCACACAACATATCTATGTCCATTTTCGTATCACTCGTATGGAAAATACCTGGCCATTTCTGCATGGAATGAAATATTCAGAGTCACAGACGCCGCGATTAGTAGTCATTAAATTACCTTGGAGTCGACTAGAGAAGTCTTGTGGCTGGGAGGAGTAGCGCGCGAAAACCCTAACCCCGACCCGGACCCGTCGTCTCCAATCCCGTCCGGCCCCGAGCGCGCCCACCCTCAGCGAACCTCCCCCACCGGCTGGAACCTGCCACAAGCCAATAAACCCCCGAATTAGTTCGAGACGGATTTCTTTTTTTTTTTTTTTTTGAGGCAAGTTCGAGACGGATTTCGTTACGCAACTGAACCCAAAACTGAGATGGGGGGCGAGAGGTTGGGCAGCCGACCTGAGGGAGTCGGTGGTGGTGGAGGAGGAGACGGGAGCGAGAAGCGGCGCCCACGACCGCCGTCGCTGCCATCAATGGATGGGTGGGTCGCCGGCGAGGGGGACGAACTAGACAAGCGTACGCGCGTGAGGTGTGAAGTGTGATGAAGCGTGGGGCACGGCGTGCGTTTGCTGGCCTTCAACGGGGTGTATGGGAGAAGGGTGCGATACGTGTAGCTGGTAGGTTCTTTAGCTCAAAATAAATGATACGGAGTAGTTCTTTTTTTCAAAGGGAAAATTGGTAGGTTCTTACGGCATTTTCAAGCCGCTCACCACAAATATTTTTCCGCATCTGTCCACGCACAGGGATAAGACACAGGTGCGCCGTCATCTAATACTATCATGTATACGTCCATCAGAAAAAGACAATTTCAAATTCAAATTTAGTTTGATCAACACAGTGCACCGGATCACATGTCCGATCACAACCAAAAAGAGGCAAGTATGCTTACCTTTTACATAGACGAATTCAAAAGAATGACGGTTCGGCAGTCCGTGCAATTTTTTACCTATCGGATCGGCAATCCCAGCCATTTGCTCCCGATCAAGGTGTCATCGCCGCCGCATAGACAGCCTCCGCGTCCATCTCCGCCGCCTCCTCATTGTCCGCTGCCGCCAACTGATCTTTATGCCACTGCAACATCTGGTAGCGGACGGATTGCGCGATCATTCTTGCGTTGGCATCCAAAGAGTCCACATTCAAGGTCAACATCTTGGCGTCCTCCTCATTGGCGGCGATCTTCACCTTATTTTCCTCAAACACAGCCTTCCTCTCTTCGATCATGGTCCTCCTCTCTTCGAGCTTGACCTTCTTGTTTGTCGTCTCCATCAACAATTTGAGCCTCTCTAACTTTTTCTCCTCCTTGAGGTCCTAGTGCTTCACACATCTCTCCTCCTTCTTCAACAAGATGTCCTCGAACCTCTCCGCCAGCTTGGGCGCCACACCTTCTCGCTTCACCCTCTCCTTCTACCACTTCTTCCCCCGTAAAAATCTGCTAACCTTCTTCGGCGGTTCTTGGGTTGGGTCTGTAGGGTCATCGATTTCTTCCTCGTTGGCTTAGGCGGCGGTCTTGGCTATGAAAAGGTTTCACTTCAGTTGCGCATTCAACTTCAACCAATAATGCACGACGATGAAGTTTTTCTTATCCAAGTTCTTGTACACCAAACAAACACGAGAAGGCTACAAAACGAATGCATATTCGGCTATTCATCAACAAAACTAAGCATATCCGGCTAGTGAGCAACAAAATAATGCATGTCCGACTAGTCATAAACAAAACTAAGCATATCGGGCTAGTGAGCAACAAAACAATGCATGTCCGGATAGTGATCAACAAAACTAAGAATATCCGGCTAATGAGCAACAAAACAATGCATGTCCGGCTAGTGATCAACTTACTTGCTCGGTGATCCGTGCACCTCTAGGCCACCGTGCGATGAGATGCTTCAAGTGTCCGCAATACTTGGATATGGCCTCTTAGATGACCATTGATGGTTGAGAGACTTCCATTTACGGTTGCGGATGACCGCGTAAGAGTAGTGCGTGAAATACTTGTGTTCATGGAACCATATGTGAATGTTCTTCCAAAATGTTGTGCCCTTTTGCTCCGTGCCATGGAGAGGATCGAAGCTAGTGGCCAACCATGCATCACACAACAACTCGTCCTCACTCATGTTGAAGCTTTCTCCTCTACCCTTCTTCTTTGGATCACCATTTGTATCATCCGGCTCATCGTCCTTCCCCTCCTCCTCCTCCTCCTCCGCCTTCGGCCGCTACTTTTTGGTGGCCCAATGTTGTCGTTGTTGTTGTTTTTGTTGTTGTTGTTGTTGTTGTTGTTGTTGTTGTTGTTGTTGTTGTTGTTGTTGTTGTGTGCCCACCCTGGTCTGAGTGTAGGACTATGATGGCTCTATATTTTATGCATTTTTAGAGCTCATTTGTTGCATGTTCTCTTCATATATCATGTCACATTGAACCAAATAGTCATCCATTATGTATGATTACCGGTTTTTGCACTTATCATTGTGAGAATTGCACATTTAACATTTTATTTGGTTTTTATTAGTTTTCTTTATTTTCTTGTGTCTATAGGTGTTTTGGGGCAACCTAGTGAAGGAAATATGCCCTAGAGGCAATAATAAAGTTATTATTTATTTCCTTATTTCATGATAAATGTTTATTATTCATGCTAGAATTGTATTAACCGGAAACATAATACATGTGTGAATACATAGACAAACATAGTGTCACTAGTATGCCTCTACTTGACTAGCTCGTGAATCAAAGATGGTTAAGTTTCCTAGCAATGGACAAAAGAGTTGTCATTTGATTAACGAGATCACATCATTAGGAGAATGATGTGATTGACTTGACCCATTCCGTTAGCTTAGCACACGATCGTTTAGTATGTTGCTACTGTTTTCTTCATGACTTATACATGTTCCTGTGACTATGAGATTATGCAACTCCCGTTTACCAGAGGAACACTTTGTGTGCTACCAAACGTCACAACGTAACTGGGTGATTATAAAGGTGCTCTACAGGTGTCTCCGAAGGTACATGTTGGGTTGGCATATTTCGAGATTAGGTTTTGTCACTCCGATTGTCGGAGAGGTATCTTTGGGCCCTCTCGGTAATACACATCACTTAAGCCTTGCAAGCATTGCAACTAATGAGTTAGTTGTGGGATGATGTATTACGGAACGAGTAAAGAGACTTGCCGGTAACGAGATTGAACTAGGTATTGGATACCGACGATCGAATCTCGGGCAAGTAACATACCGATGACAAAGGGAACAACGTATATTGTTATGCGGTTTGACCGATAAAGATCTTCGTAGAATATGTATGAGCCAATATGAACATCCAGGTTCCACTATTGGTTATTGACCGGAAACAGTTATAGGTCATGTCTACATAGTTCTCGAACCCGTAGGGTCCGCACGCTTAAGGTTTCGATGACAGTTATATTATGAGTTTATGAGTTTTGATGTACCGAAGGAGTTTTGAGTCCCGGATGAGATCGGGGACATGACGAGGAGTCTCGAAATGGTCGAGACGTAAAGATCGATATATTGGACGACTATATTCGGAGTTCGGAAAGGTTCCGAGTGATTCGGGTATTTTTCGGAGTACCGAAGAGTTACGGGAATTCGCCGGGGAGTATATGGGCCTTATTGGGCCATACGGGAATAGAGGAGAGAGGCCAAAAGAAAGGAGGCCTGCGCCCCCCCTCTGGTCCGAATTGGACAAGGGGCGCAGCCCCCCTTTCCTTCTTCCTCTCCCCCTCTTTCCCCTTCTCCTACTCCAACAAGGGAGGTGGAATCCTACTAGGACTAGGGAGTCCTAGTAGGACTCCACACTTGGCGCGCCCCCTCCTAGGGCCGGCCTCCTCCCCCCTTTCTCCTTTATATACGGGGGCAGGGGGCACCCCATGACACACAAGTTGATCTACGGATCGTTTCTTAGCCGTGTGCGGTGCCCCCCTCCATCATATTCCACCTCGGTCATATCGTCGTGGAGTTTAGGCGAAGCCCTGCGCCGGTAGAGCATCATCATCGTCACCACGCCGTCGTGCTGACGGAACTCATCCCCGACACTTTACTGGATCGGAGTCCGGGGATCGTCATCGAGCTGAACGTGTGCTGAACTCGGAGGTGCCGTACGTTCGGTACTTGGATCGGTTGGATCGTGAAGACGTACTAGTACATCAACCGCGTTGTCATAACGCTTCCGCTTACGGTCTATGAGGGTACGTGGACAATACTCTCCCCTCTCGTTGCTATGCATCACCATGATCTTGCGTGTGCGTAGGAAATTTTTTGAAATTACTACGTTCCCCAACAGTGGCATCCGAGCCAGGTTTTACGCGTAGATGTTATATGCACGAGTAGAACACAAGTGAGTTGTGGGCGATACAAGTCATACTGCTTACCAGCATGTCATACTTTGGTTCGGCAGTATTGTTGGATGAAGCGGCCCGGACCGACATTACACGTACGCTTACGCGAGACTGGTTCTACCGACGTGCTTTGCACACAGGTGGCTGGCGGGTGTCAGTTTCTCCAACTTTAGTTGAATCGAGTGTGGCTACGCCCGGTCCTTGCGAAGGTTAAAACAACACCAACTTGACAAACTATCGTTGTGGTTTTGATGCGTAGGTAAGAACGGTTCTTGCTAAGCCTATAGCAGCCACGTAAAACTTGCAACAACAAAGTAGAGGACGTCTAACTTGTTTTTGCAGGGCATGTTGTGATGTGATATGGTTAAGACGTGATGAGATATAAGTTGTTGTATAAGATGATCATGTTTTGTTGAAGTTATCGGCAACTGGAAGAAGCCTTATGGTTGTCTCTTTATTGCATAAGATGCAAGCGCCAAATAATTGCTTTACTTTATCGCTATGCGATAGCAATAGTTGCAAGAGTAATAGTTGGGGAGACGACCATGTGACGACACATTGATATAGATCAAGATGATGAAGATCATGGTGTCGTGCCGGTGACGATAGAGATCATGACAGTGAAGGAAATATGCCCTAGAGGCAATAATAAAGTTATTATTTATTTCCTTATATCATGATAAATGCTTATTATTCATGCTAGAATTGTATTAACTGGAAACATAATACATGTGTGAATACATAGACAAACATCTAGTCACTAGTATGCCTCTACTTGACTAGCTCATTAATCAAAGATGGTTATGTTTCCTAACCATAGACATGTGTTGTCATTTGATTAATGGGATCACATCACTAGGAGAATGATGTGATTGACATGACCCATTCTGTTAGCCTAGCACTTCATCGTTTAGTATGTTGCTATTGCTTTCTTCATGACTTATACATATTCCTGTAACTATGAGATTATGCAACTCCCGTTTACCGGAGGAACACTTTGGGTGCTACCAAACGTCACAACGTAACTGGGTGATTATAAAGGAGTACTACAGGTGTCTCCAAAGGTACATATTGGGTTGGCGTATTTCGAGATTAGGTTTTGTCATCCCGATTGTCGGAGAGGTATCTCTGGGCC